GGCACTTTATATACAGTAAAACAGACATTGGGTATTTTCCTTAATTAAAAAAAGAATTAATGCTGCGTTTACAAAATAAAAAAAATAAACCATAATATTTTATTTAAAATATAAAAAAGAAACACAATATTTAAAACACCTCATCAATGAAGATTTTTTATGATTTTATAGTAAAACAAATACAAACCAAATAACTTTCCCCGCTCCAACCATACAAAGAGTGTTGTGACACTCAGAAAGTAGACGAACACAAACTCGCAGATCTTTACAAGTCGTCCTGTGGTCAGAAATAATTACAGTTAATTTCTGTTTTTAATACAACAAGGGACATTCATGAAATGAAAAACTTTCTGTTCCTCTAAAATCAGTAAATTCATCTCTGAAGACACACATAACTTCCACTATTGGAAGTGTCCTTTTTACAGCTTACACAGAATGTATTACTGTCTGTTTCATATTGATTACATCAAAGTATATGCCTTTATTAGTAGGCTGTAATTCAATAATGACTTAATACTAAAAACAGTTATAGTACATTACTGATAACTGCATCCCAAAAATAATTTCAGGTTTAAAAACATTTTACAAACACCATTTACCAAAAATGAATGACAATTTCAGCTCTATTACAATCAAATGGTTGCCTTACAGTTAACAGTTTTCCTTACCTTTGTCATTTTCTAGAATCACACTTAGGTTCAGGAAATTTAATATTAGGTGAAACATGAAGAAAATCCCCAAAACGATTTTCTGAGCAAAATCTGAAAAGCAATAAAACACGTAAAATAACAGATTAAATAAACATAAAACAGGCCCCCATTAAACATTATCTCTCTGTTTACTTTTGTCTGTTATATCTTTGAGGGGTGGGCACTTACAGGGGGTGGACAAAATAATGGAAACATCAGTAAATTAATCTCAAAGACCTAATAAGGAGTTCGGCCCCCTTTAGCTGCAATAATAGGTTCAGATCTTCCTACAATGTGGTTATGGAATCCTGATGTGTGCAGTGGGACATTGGGCCCAATCTTCAGAAAGAAAAGCCTCCAGTTCTTTGCAAGATAAATAAGGTGGAAATCGACTTCACACACTGTGCTCCAGAACCTCCCATAAAGCTTTAATGCTGTTCAGATCTGGTGGCTGGGAGGCCAAGGAAGGCATCTAACTTCATCCTGATGCTCATGAAACCTCTCCTCAATGTATTTAGCAGTGTGTATGGGGGCATTATCATCATGGAATAAGGGAACATCATGAGGGAACAGTGTCTGAGCCACAGGGAGCAGCAGGTCAAGCCCCCATATTCCTTGGCTGTTATAGGACTATGCAGAGCATCATCAGACCCAATGACTCCCACAAGACGGCTGCCCACACCAACAGGTACTGTGGGCCGATGGCGTCCTTTGGCTTTTTCCAAATGTAACCCCATCCAGAGGCTCTGCAATACTGCACTACTGAGTGCACTGCAATACTGCCTTGCTGAGCACACTCTGCATCTGTATTACTTTACTTGGCACAAGTCATTTTACTGTTGCAAAGGTCCTGCTTTTATGTAATTACATTTTTTCTGTCTCACATGACCATTCGCCGAACAGACCTTTTGATTTTGCCATATATTTAATAATGTGTGGTTGATAATAACATTCACTCTGAATGTAGGGAAAGGGTGACAGATGACGCATCAGACCATGTTACTCTTTCCCATTGTTCAAGGGTCCATGTTCTGGGCTCCTGACACCAGGTTATGGGTCTTTGTTCACTGGCCTTGGATAGAAGCGCTTTCTGAATGGCAGCCCTGCCATAAATCCCAGCTTTGGGAAATTCATGATTTACAAGTTTTTATTGGGAATTCAGTCCTGTGGTCATTTCTAAGGCTGTACTTTTGTGATGTTTACCAGCCACCCTTCTCTGTCTGTCCCTGTCTGTGAGCTTTGACTTGTGACCACTGTTCCTTTTTGCTGATGCAGTTTGTCTGTGCAGGGATCGAATTTATCGACGGCATCGACGGCAAAAGCCGCCGTGCCTTAGCAATTTGCCGTGCTACCCTGAATATTTACAA